TTTATTGGCAGTAGCTGTGGAGCACATACAACTATCTTCGTTTTCAAGTCCATTACTTGTGAGGAACTTCTTCAAAGATAGAAAAGGGAGGAGGAAGAGGAGGAAGCTGAGAGTTTACACACAGTTTGCCATGGAATAATGTTCTTGAAATCAACTGTAAAGACAAAATGATAGTGTTCAAGAGCATAAAACTGCTACAGTTTTCATTGGAGACATGGATATATGAAGAGTAATACTAGCTACAATAATTGAGAAGGCAGGTTCAATGTGGTAAAAGAAAGATTCGCTTTCAAAGCTTTCCTCTTCAGGCCAACAAGCTGAATCAAAAGAGACATTTCCTCATAATTGCATACTTTTTGGTTTCTTTTGAAAAAAGAAAAAAAAAACCATACACATACCCCTCCCAATCAATTCAGATTTTGTGAAGCTGCTTGTATTCAACTGTAATTTTGTTACCTGATTTCTGGATCCCTGCCTTTGGTTGCCATGACAATTGTAGCCTGCTCTTTATAATCTGTCTCCCTGGAATTTCCTGATTATTCAAAAACTCTTCCAAAGTGGGGGTGGGGGGACACACCCCATTTTAGATAGTATTAATGTAACTGTTTGTGCAAGGTTTCTTTTAGAAATTTGCTAAGGTGAACTTGTTATGATCTATTAACCTGGAAAGAGAGGTAAGAAGATAAATGCAGACTTTGAACTATTTATTTACCGTATTTTTCACACTATAAGATGCACTGGAACATAAAACACACATTAGCTTTAGAAGAGGAAAACAAGAAAAAGAAAAAATCTGCTTCCCAGCATCCATCCGGTTTTCATCTAGTGTCCTTGCAGCAAATAGCAAACAGCCTGGTCAGCTTCAGCACATTATCACAGCCCCAGCACGTGGTTCGTCAGGGCTCTGCTCTGTTGCGCCCACCACCAGTCAACTGAGCTGACCTGCTGCCACCACCAGGGAACACTGGAGCCTTCACTGCCGAGCAGCTGATTGGCAATTGGATTGGCCTCCCCGAATACCACTGATCAGCTATTGTAGGTGGGGATTGCTACCGCCGCTGAATTGGCAGCAGCGAATGGCGGCGGTGGCTGCAAATGGCAGTGGCGAACAGTGGCGATCGGCAGCAGTGGCAATCCCCACTGCCTAGAACAGCTGATCAGCAGTATTCTGGGAGGCTGATCCAACCGCCAATCAGCTGCTCGGCAGCGAAGGCTCCAGTGTTCCCCAGCAGTGGTGAATGGCGGCAGCAGTGACAGGCAGCAGCGGCGGTGACAGGCGGTGTTCACACCAATCCCCCTTTCCCCCGCAATATTTGCTCTGTAAGACACACAGACATTTCCACCCACATTTGGGGGGAGGGGAATGCGTCTTATAGTGCAAAAAATACAGTAAATATTATTTTATAGGTCAGAAGAGTGGGAGAGGAAAAAAATAAAGGTTAAAAACCAAACTTGTCTGTATATAATATCTCACATGATTGGGGCATTTCCCAAGGGGCCATTTGCTTTCTATTCCAGCTATTATTCAGAACAGAAAAATATGTACTGGTAGCTTTAAAATGAGTTTGTTTCATTCTAAAAGAACATATACAGTATATATATGTGAAACAAGAAGAATTATGCAGAAATGAAAAAAGAGCCCAGAAGTCATTAGATCTGATGCTTAGATAATCTGGGATGTATCACCTACATATTTTGGATTTGTTTTGAAAAGGAAAGGTAGAAATATTCTTAAACTTGTGAACAACTGAATAGTTTGTGATTTGTAAATTTGAGTGGGAAACCTACCTCTACTATGCTGGGATTATTTTCATACCTATCCATCTTGACTTTCTAACCAGCACTCTCTGGTTTCTCAAATTTAGCAACTTTAAGACATTTGGACTTCAACTCCCATAATTCTCTCTTCTTTCTCTCATCCATTTCGTCTGACCTTCATTCCTAGAAGTCCTTGGCTTACAGCCACAATTGAGCCCAAAATTTCTGCTGCTAAGTGAGACAGTTGTTAAGTGAATTTTGCCCCCTTTCATGACCTTTGTTGCCACAGGTGTTAAGTGAATCATTACAATTGTTAAGTTAGTAACACATTTGTTAAGTAAATCTGGCTTCCCTATTGAGTTTGCCTGTCAGAAGGTCGTAAAAGATGTTGACATGACCCTGGGACACTGCAACTGTCAACACAGTCAGTTGCAAGCATATGAATTTTGATCACATGATCATGGAGATGCTCAATGGTCGTAACTGTGGAAAAACAGACATAAATCACTTTTTTTAGTGCCATTGTAACTTCAAACAGTCACTAAATGAACTGTTGTAAGCCGAGGACTACCTGTAATCAGTGGTGGGTTGCCCCTGGTTCGGACCGGTTCTATAGAACTGTTGGAAAACCAGCAGGAGGCTGCGCCCACCCACCCACCCCGACGTCATCAGAATGCTTCTGCCCATGCACAGAAGAGCACATGCGCAAGCGAAGCAAGCACGTGTGCGGCCCCATTGAGAACCGGTAGTAAAAGTAAGTAGAACCCACCCCTGCCTGAAATGTATCTAGCGATTTTGCAAGGCCATCTGGATTCAGTGTCACTGAATGTCACTCTGCTTTCTCTGCTCTCCTCCTTGGAACAATCCAACCTTGACATTCTCCTGGGAACTTTTTTCTACATTATTTGGTTCCATTTAGCAGGCTAGCATAACTTTCTAAATGGCAAGGACAAAAAAATATCTCTGTTCCAAACTCATGGAAGGAAGCTTCATCAGTGATTATTAACACATAACTATCTTTTAAATGTTTATATTGTAGAAGCAAGGTTAGATAGGTTATCCACTAGCACAGATATTCAAAAGCCACTGATGGCTTTTGATTTTATTTTATTTTTTATCTTCAGGGAACATTTTTATATTGACTTAAGTCATCCCTTTCTATCTGAGACAGAATTACAGCATGTGGGCACATCAATATCCCAGACCCTGTTGCCAATTTGAGAGGATGATAGATTCCATCATCTATTAGGATATGGCTATGCCATGGCTAATGGGATCATTTGGAGCACAGAAATTGGGGAAGTCTATAAAATTATTGTGGAAGGTATTTATTTTAGAAGATATTTCAGGACACAGCTGGTTAAAACACAAATCAGGATTTTCTAATATATTCTGGAGTGATCTTAGTAGTTTGATTTGACATCTGATTTATGTCGTTTCATTTTATTAAATTAGATCTAGAATTACTGAGGTGTAAAGTGATTTTTTTCCTTATATACACAAATCACAGAAATATTTGTAAATATCACAGTAATATATGGGTCAATGACATTTATTTATATATTTATTTATATAATGATTAGTAAATAGTTGTCCTGAATAGGACAACAGCAAAGGACACATGCAGGAAATGGAAAGAGAGTCAAGTCACAAAGGAAAAGTACAGACAGATAACCCGGAATGATTGTGTTAGTGTTAAGAAAACGAAAACTTAGAATGAGCTGAATTTATCAAAAATGCTAAGAATAATAAAAAGCAGTTACTTAAATATATTCAGAATAAAAAGAAAAGAATAAGTATAAAGCTGCTCAATAAAGAATGCTAGATAACAAAGAAAATGCGGAACCACTCAACTCTTATTTTAATAGAAATGTGTGTATTCCACCAGGAAACTGTAAAGAACAGGATGAAAGAATAAGACTGAAACCTGAGACTGATGGAAATATGGTCAAGGAATACCTATTTACTTTGATGAGTTGAATGAATGAGTCCACAAGAAGATTAACCGCATTTTAGGATACTGAAGGAACCTAGCTGATAACCTTTCCAAAAGCATTTTGTAATATCTAGTTAATTCCTGGAGAAATAGTGGAGTGCCAGCTGACTGTAGAAGAGCAGATATCATTCTTATCTTCTAAAAGTGAAACAGAAAGATCCAGATAATTACCAGTCAGCCTGACATTAATACCTGAAAATGTTCCAGAGCACATCATAAAGGGGTCTGTCAATTAGCGCTTTGAAAACTGTGTGGTATTTGAAGGCAGCAACTCTGTTGATCTTGTTCTGGGAGTATGGTAAAATGAATTGTGGGGAGGGAGCAGTGTTCTTCAGAGTAATATTCTTTCCTGCTGAGTCAAGGATGGGGAGAAAGTACATACTCAGGGATATGTAGATAAATTCTGAAACTCATCCCTGAATCTTTCAGTGATAAGCTCATAAGTATGTTTGCATTCATGTAGGAAGATGCATTGTCATGTGTGGGGTAAATTCTAAAAACAGCTGACTCAAAATAATACTTTGAGAGAGCTCCTCATTATATTGAAAAGTGGTATGAAGTTGGGTGCCACAAGGATCTGCTCTGCATCTTCTAATCAAAGGGTCCCCATGGCCCATGGCCCAGTACTGGTCCGTGATTTATTAGCAACCAGGCTGCACAGCTGGAGGTATACAGTGTGCGGGCAACTGAAACTAAAACCATTCCCCCCCCACTCCTGGTCCGTGGAATAATTGTCTTCCACAAAACTGGTGCCTGGTGTCAAAAGATTGGGGACCGCTGCTCAATATATTCACAATGAGTTGAATGAAAAAATACAGGGAATGCTTATCAAATTTGCCCATGATGCAAAACTGATGTTATAACTTTTGCTATTTTTTAATTTTTTAAAAAAAAATGCATTTGGAAAAAATTGTTTTTAAGTCCTTAAATTTGCATGAAACTTCTTTTATCAAGGATAGAAGGAAACTCAACTGATGTAATAAAGTCTGCCTTTCCACAGGTTCTTATATCCAAAAATCCATTAACAAACAACTTGCAGATATGATTAAGAAAGTATGCGAACCCTATGTCCATAATAGCTTCAAACCATTGCATGGGCAGACATGGCTTTCCCTCTCTCCCAGTAGGTAAAACCTGTCAGAGACTGCTGTCTTACAATCTCCTTGCAGGGAACCACTGAATGGAGTCCTTGTGGGCAATCCTAGTCCTCTCCTTGCTCCAGAGAGAAATTCCAAGGTTCTAATCCATTTACCAGATTCTCATTCTGTCATGGTCAGTGGCTCCATTGTCATTGAGCTGTCTTCAGTCCACCATTATTTCCCTGGAAGCCAGAAGGAGATTTTTTTTTCAAGAAGTATGTTTAACCACCAAAATTAAAACCTTTTTAAATATTTAGAAAAGGGTAGAATAGAAGCTTGGTAATAGCTTTCATTTAGTAAAAGATGTGCAGAATTAAATAAAAACATAGGGAGCATAGGAAATAGTCAAAAGAAATGCCAGAAACATTCATAAAAACCACATTGTTTTCCTAGACAGAAGCCATTTTCTTAGCTTATTTTCCTACAGATAAATGAATGGTTGGGGTTTATAATGCCAATACAAAGTAAGGGCCACCTGTGGACAGTGTGGAACCGATGACTAATAAGAAGTACATATTTATTGCATAAAATCATTTTGCAAGAACACTCTGGATGTAATTATTTTATTAAACTAAAACAAAATGCATAGTTTGATGATAGTAGCCAGATGATTCTAATGCAGAAATAAAAAAGGCTATTTTAAAGCATTTGTACATATATTATAGACTAGCTTTTCCATTTTGATGTCCTATAAGCATGCATAATGTCCTATAAGCATGCACGGTCACTCATGCCCTCGTCACCTCCCGTCTGGACTATTGTAACGCTCTCTACATGGGGCTCCCCTTGAGGAGCACTCGGAGGCTCCAACTGGCGCAGAGTGCGCCGCGCAGGTGGTGATGGGAGCGACGTGGCACTCCCATGTAACACCTCTCCTGCGCGAGCTGAACTGGCTCCTGGTGGTCTTCCGAGTGCGCTTCAAGGTTTTGGTTATCACCTTTAGAGCGCTCCATGGCTTAGGACCTGGTTATTTACAGGACCACCTGCTACCACCATAGCCTCCCATCGACCAGTACGCTCCCATAGAGAGGGGCTCCTCCGGGTGCCGTCGGCCAAACAATGTCGACTGGCGGCCCCCAAGGGGAGAGCCTTCTCTGTGGGGGCACCTACTATCTGGAACGAGCTCCCCCCGGAGATACGGAGGATCCTGGATCTGCGTACCTTCCGTCGCGCGCTCAAGACTTTTCTATTTCATCAAGCCGGCCTGACCTAAGTCTTTCCCCTTTTAAATGGAAATTTTAAATCTGGTTTTAAATTATTGGGGGTTTTAAATTTGTTCAGCCAAATTATTTAATTCATTTTAATCTATTTTAAATTTGTATTTATATGTTTTATTCTATAGCTGTTCACCGCCCTGAGTCCTTCGGGAGTAGGGCGGTATACAAATTCAATAAAATAAAATAAAATAAAATAAAATAAATAAGGCAGCCCATACCAGTCCCTGCTAGTTTACGCAGCTAAGAAAAAATCACTATGAGATAAGACTAACCTATACTGAATATGCCTGTCATTTTCCACATTGAGCACTGGAGCAACCAGTATAAGAAAGTAAGTTGTTTTCCTAGGAAGGCTTCCACTGCTCCCAGCTATAAAGCTGAACCATATATATGGGATGTCAGACCTGGAAGCCATCTTTTATCTTTGGACCTTTAGGTCTGTCACAACTAGTGAAGAGTGAAAAGTTAGTTCTTAAATTCTAAATTATTTATAATTATTAAATCAGTATACTGTCTGAAATGCGCCCAAACAGATTGCTACTGTTCTTATTATCAGCAAGAAATGCTGCAGTTGACTTAGGCACAGCTAAGTTTGTATCCTACCATATACCTCGTGTCTGTCTAAAAAAAGTTATATGCAATTCTTGACTAAGGCTAAAATGTATGTCATAAAATATGAATTTATATTGTAGCATGGGGAATCTCTCTTGCTCTTACTCTTCCCCATTTCTAAGCAGAATAGAAGGAAATAATTTTACACAGTACTATTAAATTCCTGCTATATTAAAATATCATCCTTGGAAAGTAGTACAGGCAAGCCCCATAAAAATAAATTTTTCAAGCTGAAGTGTATGCCTGTTACTGTACTGATATGCAATTTGAAACATATTTCTAGATTAATTTTACTGTTACCACTTAGGCTTAATAAGGGAAAACACCCTATGGAGGCATGTCACATACCAGCCTAATTAAGAACTCTAGATGAAGGATACAATATATAAGGAGGAAGGAAACCATTGGAATAATAAAAATAAATAAAATTAGGAACAAGATGCATAAGCTCATGTTTTCTAAATATGCTGGAAAACTGTTCTTGTGTGTAATCTGTTCAGAGAAATTTGAAGCTTATTCATATCCTTATCTTGTTCATTCTGCTGTCTGTTGCCTTTGAATTTTGTGTGAATAGAGCAAGGACCTTCATTTGTTAAGAGAAAGTCATCATACTAACAAGCAAAAAGACATTTTGAAACACTTTGACTAATTAGAAATAATGTTTTATTTTCTCCCACTGTCGTGTGTCTTTTAAAAATTACTGCACCTTGCATATTTCAGACATAATCCAGCTGTAGTCCCCTATAATTGGTGACCAGAGGCAGTGGCATTTATTAAGGGTCATAGGAACTTACCTTATATACACCATTTTATTTAGTCCATTACTGTTGACACTACTAGATGTGCAGGTATGAAAAAAAACACAAAGCAAATAAGTGCCCCATAGCAATTAATTAGTAAAGCCAATTAAGAAAAAACTTAAAATGAGGACACAAGAATACTAACCATTACGTTTACTTTGAAATGTGAGCCTGTGGTCCTCGACTTACAACCAGAATTGGGACCAGAATTTCCATTGCTAAGCAAGGCAATTGTTAAGTATAGCACCCGATTTTATGACCTTTTTTGTCATAGGTATTAAATGAATGATACAGACGTGGGTTTCAGCAGGTTCTGACCAGTTCTGGAGAACCGGTAGTGGAAATTTTGAGTAATTTGGAGAACCAGTAGTAAAAATTCTGACTGGCCCCGCCCCCTTCTATTCTCTGCCTCCCAAGTCCCAGCTAATCAGGAGGAAATGGAGATTTTGCAGTAGCCTTCCCCTGGAGTGGGGTGGGAATGGAGATTTTACAGTATCCTTCCCCTGCCACGCCCACCAAGCCACGCCTGTCAAGCCATGCCATGCCCACCAAGCCACACCCACAGAACCGTTAGTAAAAAAATTTGAAAGCCACCACTGGAATGATATGGGTGTTAAGTGAATCCAGCTTCTCCCACTGCCTGTTGGAAGCCAACTGAGAAGATCAGAAATGATGATCATGTAAACCTAGGATGCTGTAACCATCATAAATACCTGCCAGTTGCCAAGTACCTAGGGCACTTGATGGTCATAAGTGTGAGGACTGGTTGTAAGTCACTTTTTTCAGTGCCATTGTAACTTTGAAGAACCACTAAATGAATGGTTGAAAGTCAAGGATTACCTGTGTACAATTGAAAGCAGTAGTTTCCAGCATTCTTTCTCCATGGTTTAAATGAAAGGTAACAAAGCCTGTTCTTCTGGAAATGTGAGCTGTTTGTACTTGAAAGAGAGGCTATAAAGGCAAAAACAAATTCTGAAAATAAAATTCCTTTATATCAAGAAAATATTTTTATAGATACAGTAAGGAAGTCAAGTTGTATTCAGCATCCATTAGAAATTGCTCATGAACATTATGACATTATTATTGGGGAGGGGGAGAGAAATAAAATCCACAGATCTGAGCCTGACTTCCACTAATTTTATATACATTGTGCCCTAACCTGTTGCTTTTCAGTATTATGACATTTTTTTCTGAACAGATTTCTTCCAGACTTTTTTGGACTATGAGTTCCACTACCCAATCATCATTGTTTTACTAATAAAGGAGAATATTTGTAGCTCAGGGTTGAAATGAGGGGTCCTTGATGCTCTCTGAGCTTGCTTGTTTTCTTGCAGCCATTTCATTACCCAAACTAGTAACATCATCAGTGCTGATGATGTTACCTAGTTTGAGTAATGAAAGATCTGCAAGAAAACAAGCAAGCTCAGAGAGCACCAAGGACCCCTCATCATTGTTGTGCTAGTCAAGGAATTGGAAGGTTTCCATGTCCCAGTTTAAGATGCTGGAGGCACCTATTAAATTTGGGTCTTCACTTCTTCCAGGACCATTTCTTGTGGTCTGCCACAGGATATAAATGGGATGGCATTCATATGGAGAGCTTCTCAGCTGTGGAACAGCTTGCCTGCCCCAAGATCAATATATTCCCCTCAACAAGGCAGTAATTACTCTGCTCCTGTTATGTGAGGCAGTGGCGTTCAGATGGTGATTGATCAAACTGGTTGTTATGTTATTTATAGGGGTTGTTTCATTGTATGGTTTTAATGTCTTATGGGTGCAAGCCACCTGGAATCTTTTGTGGAGCAAGAATACAAATAAATAAAACCATCCATTTGAAAAGAAGAGCAATTGCAAGATGTTCGTTTTCTGGATAGAAAGAGTGCTTAGTGATCCAGGAGAGCAAAAGGAACACATCCTCTGGTCCCACCTATCAGTTACATGACAGAAAACATGCTGAGTTGTATTCGGAGTGTTACACTGTCGTTTGGGGATTTATGTGTTGCATACCCTCTCTGCTGAAGGCACCATTTTCTTATCATCTTTTCTTTCCTTCAAAATTAAAGCATACTCTCAGGACCCCTGGAGATTGTTGGCTTTGCTGCTGCCATCAACCCTTTTTCTGGTTTGGAAATTATTTTTTTTCTCCTTTGGGTCTTTATGTACATCAGACGTGGGGAAACGATGGCTGGCTCAGGAATTCTGGGAGTGGAAGTCCACAAGTCATAAAAGGGCCATCGCTCCCACCAGGAGTGAAATCTACTTACCTTCCCTACCGGTTCGGAAGTGCATGTGCCACGCATGTGTCACGGACCCTCTGCACATGCACAAACCCTTCTGCAGATGCGCAGAGCATAAAAAAATGACGACCGGGTGGGTGGGCGGAGCCTTGCGCTGCCATCGCTACCAGTTCTCCAAACCACCTACCACCAATGCTATTGGTCTGAACCGGTAGCATTTCACCCCTGCTCCCCACCCCTGATGTACATAATAATGTGACTGGGTACAGAGCAGCACAGTCATTTTGGGCACTTTTAAATAAGGAAACATACTGGCTTTTATTCAATAATTTAAAATGTGTTGTAAACAAGTTCCCTTAATATTGCAAAGTATTTATAGCCTGTTAATCCTTGAGCTCTCTTGTATTAAATATATACTCATAAACCTGTAATTCTGAGAGATAAGGGCTTTCTTTGATTTCTGTCAGAATCAGACCCATCCAGCCACATCTCTCAAATCCGTTTTTTTTTTCTCAATTTCCTCCTTCCAGAATATGAACTGGGGAGAAGGTACATTACTCTGTTTTGATTGACAGTTCTACTACCCACTCATCATAAATTCCATTAACCATTGTTTAGGTTGCTGTGTTTAGGGTCATTCAAATGAAGAGTGAGATCAAGCTTTTTAGAATAAATACATTAACAAATAGCCCATAATCAACCATGAAGCGTTAAGAAGAGACAGCCTTGTATATAAGAAACATTAAAAAATAATAATGGAATTCTTCTCATCCATGTGCTTGCTTTTGTTGATGTCTATCATAGAAGCAGCAATTAAGTAGTATGAAAAAGGCAGGGACCCTATCTGAAATCCTCAGTGAAAATATCCAACCCAACATCCAGGGTGTTTCTAAAACTAACTAATTTAGCAAGTAATTTAGGAGCTGCACAGATTACATGCAGCTTGTCATTATGTGTATATTGATTTAAGAGAAGGGGAAAGAAAGATGGTGAACTATGCACGTAGGAAGCTAAATCTATTTTATTTTATAAACTCATTTTGCTTTCCTTATTGTATAGAAAAGAAGCAGTTCCAGCAAGTGCATTCCCTGAAGAAAAGAAGTGTTTTCAGGGAATGCACTACATTCATTCAAACCTACAAAGGTCAATATTCCCTTTTCAAAAATTGAGATGTAGGGTTACATGTAAGCCAGTGGTGGGTTGCCCCCAGTTTGGACCGGTTCTATAGAACTGGTAGTAAAACTAGTGGGAGGCTCCGCCCACAGACCCCGACATCATCAGAACGCTTCTATGCATGCGCAGAAGAGCGCGAAAGTGAGCGAAGCAAGCGCGTGCGTGCGGCCCCATTGCAAACCGGTAGTAAAGGTAGGTAAGACCCACCCCTGATGTAAGCAGGACATGAGGACGGCAACTATGAAGAGTTGGCTATGAAGGGAACTATTTGATCACTTTGGATTGCTCATGGAAAACACTTGAAATGGGAGTTTTGCACATAATTTTTTAATCCTCAGCTGATCTAATTAAAGCTGATTTTAGATTGATAGTTTTATTTCTCATGACTTGCCTCGTTGCTTCTGCTTTCTGTGATATTTTCCCAAACATTCTCTCCTCACATATTTTATAAAACAATCTTTTATTTTATTTACATCCCATTTTTTCTGCCATCAAGCATCAATTGGCATGTCTTCATTTTCACTGTCCGTTGAACAGTCTTTTTCTTATATTTACATTTGACTTTTAAAAAATCCCTCTTTGAATAAACTAACAGAGATATTTCTGCATAATGACTGGCTACAGATATCAAAGATTTATTCCAATCATCTTCCAATATTTTTTTGTTTGAGAGCAGGTCCACCAGCAATGGTAAAAGGTACCTTGCTGATGTCCGCACTTCCAACACTTTGGATTTAGGTTGGGATAAATCTTGGCAATCCTAGCTGGTGCTAGGTGCCACCTGTAGATCATCTTATACTGGTTCTCCTTGTAGGTGGTTGCCTTAGTGAGTCTTATATTGTTGTTCCATATTTGGTCCCATTCTTCCAAATTTATATTTTGCCCAATATTTTTGGCCCATGCTAACATTGGGTCTTTGACCACCTCCTCCATCAGGTCATAATCTACCAGATAATTGTACAATTTAGCTAATTTATTGTCCGTACTCATCCAAATCTTATCAAAATCTTTGCTACCCATTTCTATACCATATTGTTCTTTATCTTTTTTGTATCTTGATTTTATCTGTGCGTATGTCCACCATTCTATATGAGTGCCTTGTTCTTTTAACTGTTCTATTGTTTTACGGTTCCCTGCCTCATCTAATATTTCTTTATATTTCACCGTTTTACCATGTTCCAGAACGTTTGGGTATATTATCGCCTCCATAGTTGAAAGCCAACTGGGAATTTTAGTATAGTGTTTTCGTCTTATTTCTTCCCAGGTTGACTTCAATATATCCCTCAATTTGTGTTTATTAAAGTGTGTTTTTGTTTTTTTCCCTGTTTCCCATAGGTAGGCATGCCAGCCTTTCTGAAGATCATGCCCTTCTAACGTTAGAATTCTTTTGTTCGCCAGGGTCGCCCAATCTTTTAGCCAAACAAGAATTGCTGCCTTATAATAAGTTTCCCAAATAGGTAGTCGAAGCCCTCCTCTATTTTTTTTATCTTGTAAACTCCTGATTGCTATTCTTGGCTTTTTCCCTCCCCAAATAAATTTCCTAATGGTGGCATTGAATTCTCTGAAAAAATTTTATCTAATTTAATTGGCGCCGTTTGAAACAGATACAACAATTTGGGTAAGACACTCATTTTAATTGTCGCTAGCCTCCCTAAAAAGGAGATCTGGAGCTTCCCCCACTTCTTTAAGTCTTGTTTTATGCTTTTTATCAAAGGGACATAATTGTCCTCTTTGAGAGCCAAATATTTTGTTGAGATCCACACTCCCAGGTATTTAACTTTCTTCACAATTTGTATTCCCATGGATTCCTCCAGAGCTTCTTTCTGGTTTTTCGTCATATTTTTGGTGAGCATTTTGGTTTTAGATTTGTTTAATTTGAGCCCCGCTACTTCTCCATACTTGTCAAGTACTTCCAATATTTGTATGCCTGTTTCCGCTGGTTCTTCCATGATTAAAACGACATCATCCGCGAACGCTTGGACTTTATATGTTTCCTTCCTGATTTTGAGCCCTTTAATTTGATCACTCTCTCTAATCTTCTTTAATAGCACTTCTAGTGCCAATATATACAGGAGTGGTGACATTGGCAATTGGCTTTCAGAAATAATAGGTGAAACCTTTGAATTAGATCCTAAAATATTCCTCCTGGGAATTCTCAAGACGGAAATGGCAAAAAAGAAGAAATACCTAGCAGTGCATATAACAACAGCAGCAAGAATCTCTTTTGCTCAACAATGGAAAGAGAAAAAAATACCAACTAAGGAACAAGTAATCGGTAAAATAATGGAATGTGCCGAGATGAATAAACTAACGCTGGAAATCAATGACAGAGAAGATTCTGATTATTATAGCGTGTGGGACAAGTGGTACGGGTGGTTAGAGAAGAGGAAAATGAAATTTAAAAAAAATGAAAGAGACTAGAGTGAGTACAAGAAATAGTTAAATGAAATAGAAAGAGAAGATGTACCGTAGATGGTAGAAAGTAAAACGAGGTAAGGAAAGGTTACATAGGTAGGCAAAAGATATGACTTATGTATTTATTAATCTACCTTTAAAAATCCATTATATATATATATACATTAAGAATGATATAAGTATACATTTATATACCATGTAACTGAGTAGCAAAGTTCATCTATATGTACATACATCTGTATTTGTATTTATTTCCTTTTCCTATACCATGTAACCGGATGGACAAAAATTGTATTATAACAATTTCTTAACAATAAAATATTTAAAATCGGGGAAAAAAACCCCCCAAAAACCAAAGATTTATTCTGGGGAGTGGGGTTTTGCAGAACGTTGAACTTTAGAGATGTCATTTGCCCATTATGAGTCCACTGTCTTGCAAGAATGATTGAAATCTAGATTTGTGCTGCAGTTGTATTCAGCTGTGAAACATAGCGAGGAATAGAGAATATCAAATGTTATGTCGAACTTGTACTGAGATTTCAAAAGCCAAGGTATGTGCTAACAAAACACAAACCTATAAATGACATTCCCAGTGATGTAATGTGATATAAATGATAAACAACAAGAGATGTATAGGAGAATCTTATAACACCATACATTGAGTGACCAACAAGCAGATCTTCTCCCTCTCTGCGCCAATTGAAATTATCTAAGAAGTGGAACCACTGTAAAACAGTGCTGTGGATTCCAAACCCATGCAGGCAACCCAGACAGATATCAGGTTCAATGATATAGAAAGAGCATATTTCCCCTCCCATTCAGGTCCCACTTCAGATTATCCAGCAGTGTGACTAATGCAGTTTCTGCCCCATGGTCAGAATCCAGACTGAAAAGAATCCAGATAAACCACTTCTCTTATCTAAAGAGCTATCCGGTTTTCCATGGCCCTCCCCGTAAAAGGGAGATTGGGCAGTGGTTCATAGTTGTCTAATATTTATGAAGCAAACAACGAATTGTATTTATTATGTTTAGAATCACTAGTTCTGATACACAGATTTTATTTGAGACCCATCTGTTAGTTTTTTGGATTTTTTAAAACGTATACTGTATTTTTCAGAGTATAAGACGCACATTAGTTTTTGGGAAGGAAAACAAGAAAAAAAATTATGCCTCTGCCTACCACCATCCATCAGTATTCATCTTGGTAGCATCCCTGCAGCAAACAGCAAACAGCCTGGTCAGCTTCAGCATGTTATTGCAGCCTGATTCAGCACAAGCAGCTGATTTGTGGTTGGATTGGCCTCCTGGAATACCACTAATCAGCTGTTCCAGGCTACAGGGATTGCCACAGCCCATCACTGCCTTCGCGCATTGTGTTTTTGGCCTCCGCGCATTGTGTTTTTGGCCTCCGCATGTCACATTTTTGGCCTCCGCACACTCTGTTTTATACCCCTTCCAGGCTGCTGGGATCACCACAGCACATCGGTGCCAATCGCTGCCTCCACGCGTCACGTTTTCAGCCTCCGCATGCCCTGTTTTTGGCTTCCGCGCAGAGGTGGCGATCAGCGGCAATGCGCTGTGGCAATCCTTGCAGCCTGGAACGGATCTAAAATGGAGCATGCAGAGGCTGAAAATGTGATGTGCAGAGCCCAAAAATGCAACATGCGAAGCCCAAAAACTCGACACACAGAGGCAGCGATCGGCGGTGATCGGCAGCAATGTACTGTGGTGATTCTCGCAGCCTGGGTCTAAAATGGAGCATGCGGAGGCCAAAAACGTGATGCGCAGAGGCCAAAAATGGCCGAAAGGTGGGGGCCAGTGGGTGGGTGGGGCTTTGGCAACATTTGGTGTATAAGATGCACAGACATTTCCACCCAGTTTTAGTTTCAGAAGATTCCCACTTGTACCCCTTGTCTATTCATTTCTGGTCAAATGTAATCAATTACAATAAATAGTGCAATCCAGTCAAAAATAAAATTATTTCACACATACATACACATGGAGGCTAAATGCATTTACAGTTGTTACTCATGAATCAAAGAATGAACATGGCAATCAATATTATTTTATCTCAGTACATTTCTTTTTAGTAAATATTGAAGTTTAACAAACTGAACATTTAGGAAAGGGCACAATTACAAATCTGTTTTGTAAGTAGTCAGTTGTTTTATTCTATCAAATCCCAGCTCTGATTTCCAAAGTTTTATATCTGCAGAAATTTATCGTGTCATTTCTCTTTTGACAGAATGACTATATACTGCCTGCATTTATGTAGCCGATCATTTCTCTGTGTGTAAGAATCTTAACAATTAATTAAAATTGTAGTTCTGGATTATCATTGTTTAATGAACATGCAAGTTTACTTTTGTCATATGTGATATTTAATTGACCTATTTGATGACTATCCTCAGTTCAGGAATATAATTACGTATTATGGTTTATTATAAATTAAAATCAGCTGTTAAATATTATTTTTCAGAACATAAATAAAGGCTCATAACTAAAATATTACATATAAAACAGATCTGAGTTTGAGTTTCAAACCAAAACACTATACAATATAAACTACTGAAAGAGAGAGAGAGAGAGAGAGAGAGAGAGAGAGAGAGAGAGATTATTTTATATCTGTCTTTTAAAGACAATGGCAACTTAAATTTTGTAGCTATGTTATGTGAATAGGTCTGTGATATTTAATATATAAGAGCAATGATTTATGCCTCAGTATTTTAATCAGATTCTATTTTGATATATTGATATTGGGAATTTCTAAACTATCTTAAAGTATTATAAAATTATGGACAGAATTAGATATAATTTTAAGCAATATCTTATACTTCCTAAAGTAATGGCTGCATTGGGCACTTCCAACACAATAAAAGACTTAACAAATGCATTGTTTTATATGCGTCTGTGAGACATAGGGATCTACGACAGCTTGTATGAGAAGTGTGCTAGTCTTTAAAATGTTACAGATCATTTTCAGCTGATATCTCAGTGATCATATTTCACTGGGAAATAAAATTTCATCTTTGCAAAAAAAAATATGAGGAGAATAATAACATATGCACATCTGCATTCCAGTTTAGGATAAAAGTCTACCCTAAAATGTAATTTAGTTGTGCAGTTTGCAAATTCAAGGAAAACAATGGTTATGTTTTCCCTTCTTTCTAAATGAGGACACACAATACATTTATACTTCTCTGACCTTGCCAAGAAGTCTTTTATTCAAAGACAAAGCAAGAGAACAATAAGAGGTTGTTTTTTTTAATTCTGAGCTTTGCCAAAATCCTTTCAAATAAAGGTCAGAAGCTGCTGGTGGATTTTTGTTTGAGGAATAATAAATTCAACAGGTAATTAGTGCAATGAGGATTTTTTTCCCCTGCTGAGTTCTTTACTGTTTGCCTTTTAATGTATGTCATATGAATGGTTTTATAAATCTGAACTTTACGTCTTGGAGAAAATGTCCATGGCTTCTTTATTGTATCAGTTTTTGTTTTTTAATGTAATGGAATCTTTGTGTTTCTCGTTCCTGCCTAAGATATATAAACTAGAGAGATGGGTAGGGAGCTGTCGCATAGAAACAGCCTCCTCGCTTTACTTACATAGCATACAAATGAAATGTTCTCACTCTGCAGACAGAGAGGTAGAGTAGCTTTTAATGTCATCCCCAAGTGGAAACGTTAAAGCACCAAATCTCATTCAGCAGAATAAAAGTGCTGTGAAAATGCCTGAAAAAAAGGCAAAGAAAGAAATGTATCATTTTACTCATAGTGGAGGGCAGGTAGGGAAAAAGAGATGCACATCAAGAGTCACCTACTCAGGTGAATCAGTTTATATGGAACCAGATGCAACCACTCAGCCAGGTACAGCTTGAAACTGAAGTAATGTTAGATGGACCTCCAATGGAGAAGCAGCATATCTCAAGAGAGAAAGAAATTAGTACAGATAAAATGTAGCCCAACTTCATATTGCATAATTACAATGACAATCCAGTGGGTTATAATACTAAAGTTATATAATCTTTGGATGGTACATATGAGTATCACTGATTTGGCCAAAGTTCTCAAGTAAAAATTGCTCAGATAAATTCCTTCTGAGAATGTTCTTTTTCATTAATTCTCTCTCTCTCTCTCTCTCTCTCTCTCTCTCTCTCTCTCTCTCTCTGTGTGTGTGTGTGTGTGTGTATGTGTGTGTATTAGCAATAGCGATACTGAAGGTGGCCGCCATTTTGCTTTCTACTGTACAATATTTTGATAAGGATGCTAGATTCAAGCTTTGAGCATAATGGGGGCTGAAAAAGATATTCAAGCCATTAATGCAATTTTTAGCAGTGAGCAGTAAGTAAGAAAATAAAGATGTCACATCACTGCCTTTCTTGATGGGAAATATCACATCAGAGAAACTGGACAATTTCTCCTCTTAGCAACATTCACAGCAGCAATCATAAGGCACAGCAGAACAACCAAGTAATACAGGTTGTATCTAAGCATCAAATTGCAGAAACTTAAAACAGATCGTATTTGATGATGAAATCATAGAATTTCAGGACAGAAGTCCAATAGAATCAGCAGAACCAACCCAAAACAGAACTGGGCTAATTTAGCACTTTTGAAATAAACAAAATCCTACCTATAGGACATGGAGTGATAGAAGACCACTAAATCTATAGTCCAAAAATAGCTAACTGCATCTTGGTTGATCCTATTAATGAGCCATATATTGTGTCAATAACATTTGCTTGTGCATTGATTTCTTGTGGACTTTGTTTGGATATTGAATACATATGCCACAATTGTTTAGTTTCACCCTTTAAATTCTTCGTTGTCTATTTCTGTAAACATGTACACATATTATGAACACTAATCCTTTATAATTGGAAGCATGAGTGAAAGTGCCCCTTCTCTCTCAGCATTTAGTGTTAAATCAAATTCTGTGCCCCAAATGATCCAGCAATAAATGTGTAGACAATAAATTAAGAGTTTTGGATTGTCAATCTTTCCAGGTATACCAGATTAGGAAACCAATGCCATGTAGGTCAGTACTGCTTTTATCTGACCGTTGCCTTGGTAACAACTCTTTCTCCTATCTTTCAAGTCCGTTCCCTCTGCCCTTACAGGGACATAAAACAAAATTCTACAAGGAACTATAACTTGAAGGGAAAATCCATGCTCTGCAGATGAAAGGTTTTAAGTTCAACATGCCCCATTAAAAAGAAAGGGATCAAGTGATCAGAAGTATCCTAGAGAGCTACTCACAAATTAATTAATATCAGGCCAGATATGCAAATAGTTTGAACTGGAGTAAATCAGCAGCTTCCTATGATTCTCCAGAACAAAAACATATAGCATAAAGTTTTCTTCATACTACCTGATTTCTGGAGACCATGATATATCTGGTATCTATGCAGGAACTAGTTGCATCTAATTATGGCATTCATTCAACAGAGTGCTAAAAATGTGAGGAACTAAAGCTGTTAGTGTGAACTCCTATCCTCCATCCCAATGCATTAAATATCTCAATCTTCAGTTCAGATATGCTTAGTTGCACTGAGGTCATGGCTTACTTGGGTCTCTTCACACTGATTTCAGATTGTGAAACTAACACTGTTCCCTAAACAATTATGTGTTTTCACTAGACTGGCTTGTAGACATCTACTATGAAATATAAAGGATTGTAAACATCTACTATAAAATATGAAGAAATATGCTTTCTGCAAAGGAAAATCCAGACAAAGACAAGTACAATGGATTTCAAGGTTGAGAATTCTTAATCATAGTCTTGTTGGCTGAATATTCTAGCAATTGTAATCCCAACATATTCAAAAAGTTCCACACTACAAATTCAGAAAACCTACTATAAACAGTTACATGGCAACATAATTTTTTGCACATGAATTGGTAACCACTTGACAACAATCCTTTCAAAACTTAATAAGGATTATATATACTACCTGAGCAGACTGTATAATGCACCTGTTAGTAAAACCACACTATTCCCAGTACTGACATTTTGGAGATGAAATGCCAGTTCACTGTCTTTAATCTGCAACCACTGAGATTCATCATTGCAAGGGGCTTGTTTTCTTTCTCTTTGTCATATAAATTGTGCATTCAGCTTCACTGAACCCAAAATAATTTCACCTCTTGTGAGCTATAGTTTTATCACCTGAAAAATACACATTCTTCTTTCGTACTCTTAAAGCATATTTTTGCAAATATGAGACAATGTTTTATATCCATACTACTATAGTACCTCCATAATATTATGCCGCCCAGTCTCAGGAGTGCCTGTGTCTACAAAATGTACCGGACTACAAAAGTGGCACTGTATTAGTGAGATGAGTGGAGCAGAAATCTAATAATTAAATACATTTTTTAAAAAAAAAATTAAAGAAGGTGACTACAATCCTATAATCAAAGCCCCACTTATTTTTTTATTACCTTATTGTGGCTGCCATCTTAGCATCCTTCCCATGGATGATGACCCTGCTCAAACATCTGTGCTCATATAACTTTGGAAAAACAATAGAATAAAGCTGCAAAGTCTACTCCAAAACATCCCCTCATCTTTTCCTTTGCCTCTCCTTTCTGCTACCCCCACTGCCTCTCCTGTTGCAAGCTCTGTCCCCTTTTCCTTCTGCTGACCTTGCTGTCCCTCTCCATTTGCATCTGTGAACTAGACCAATCCCAGGACAATACATAACTCAAACACAGCTATGTTTCCGCTGCCAAAATAGCCTTTTAATCCAGTCATAAGAAAACAATGAAGACTTATGAGACTTATCTTCTAGGATACGTGGCAATTTTTGTTCTGTCAGATGCGTAACCAGGAAGAGATGGAGAACCACAAACTGTGTAGGGATGAGCATCCTTTCCATCTTTCCCTCCATCTTGTTTTTGTTCTTTTTACATTCTCTCCCAAGCAAGAGCCTACTAGGGAAGAGATCAATGATTTTTATCAGAAGTCTGAACTGAAATAAAACTGAGCCCATATAACATGAGGTCCAGAGCCAGAAACTATGTACCGGACTGCAATTTAATAGCTTGTCTAGATGCATGTTGTTTACTTGAAGTGAATTCTATTGAGTTCAGTGAAGCTTGATATATAGTGGGAGGGCTTAAAACTGCAGTATTGAGGTAGGATTTAATTCTAGCAACTTTATCTAAGAATCTTCCTTTCTTTTCTTTTCTTTCACTGTTTCATAGCATCTGATGTACGTCATCTGAGGTAAATCTCTTAATAATAAACAAAGCACTTCAAGTCTGCTATGCAAATAATCAGTAATTTGCATATTTTGCTTCGCTGCTCTATTTAAAATGAGACATGCCCAATTTCATCACTGAGAGTCACTGTGAGACACAAGGCTTGTTCTTAATATATTTCTTCAACAAACCCAGATTTCAGGTTTAGGCATGTTGATTACTGTCTGCCTGTGGAATGGATACTATACTAAAATAAAGCATTTGAATCACTACAGTAAGGTGATGTTATGGCCCAATGACGGAAAGATCAACATCCCAGTGAGTGGAAGATCTTGTTACTGAACAAAAAAAATGCTAATAATTCTCAGCGTCACATTACATTGATAGGCATTTACACTGTCCAATCTGTGATTAGTGTCAGCTAATCCCAGACTAAATCTCTCCTTTGTTTTTTCCAAAGCTTCCTTCTGCAAAAGAAGCTTCTGTTTTACTGCTTCCTTCTCTTTAGAACGCTTAGGATTTTGTAAGGTATGTATGATGTACTGTTGGAATGTGGTAGTTGTTGTCCTGTTACATGTCTCTCCATAACCCTAGAGCAGGGGTGTTAAACTCACATCATTATGACATCACGTGATGTATTGCGACCCCCCCCCTTCGCTAAACTAGGTGTGAGCGTGGCCAGCGCATGATGCATCCAGCCCGTGGGCCACGAGTTTGGCACCCCTGCCCTATAGTATTCTTACCTGCTCCTGCTTTCTGATCTAGACACACACACACACACACACACACACACACACACACACACACACTGTATCATGAAACTCATCAAATTCAGTGAAACCTCAATAAATATTATAGGATCAGGCTTCATCCTAGTTAAGGGAGTAAGAGTAGAAAGAATCTTCTCCCAGCTTGATGCTCTCTATTCCTATTGAATTTCAACTCTCAAATTCCTTAGCTAGCATAACTCCTAGCTTGGGGACTTTGTAGTATTTAGGAATTTGGGGGGATGAAATGTAACATACACAGAAAAAGTTGGAGAAAGTTATCCTCTAAGAACTAGATTAATGGTTCACCTTTTAATCTTCATACAGTAGTTTCATACAGTAGTTTCAGAATGTTGGGATGTTCCTAGTAAGTAATATAGGTAAATCTATGTTCAGTTTAACAATTACAGAATTAAAGTATTTTTAAAAGGCAGAGTGTCCAATATCTGCTTTAAGACCCTTAGAAGAGAGTCTATTATGCTTCTAAATAAATTCTTTTTTAATATTTAGCTCATTTCTACTCTTCTATAATTTAGTCTTATTAGATCTAGTTCTCTGGTTCAGCAAAAACCAAATCTGTATTTTATTTTATTTTATTTAGAAATTTATACGGCTGCCCAACTCTACAACAACAGCATTCAACAAAACAGCCATATAAACTTTAACCCACCCTCCTCAACCCTGGAAGAAAGACATGAAAAAAACAATCAAATATATAGTACTTCCTAAACACAGCCAG